GAGCATGAACGATGCTCGCATGTGTACGAGCATGAATGTGTAATGGGACTTTTAAGGCATTAGGGAATGGACTATTTTGTCTTCTTGGGGGTTCAATAATTTTAAGGTTAAATGTTAATTTTAGTATTTCAATTTTTAATTTTAAATATTTTTAATACTTAAATTAATTTTTACACATTTTTTGGTCCATGAACTATAAAATTATACTTTTTTAATCCTTCTATCAATTAGTCCATTAAATCTATTTAAATAGACATATTTTTAATTTATAAACTTATGAGTTTGAGAATTAAAAATATATATAGATAAATTTAATGAATTAACTAACGAAAAAAATTTTAAAAATATATATTTCAAAATTAAGAGATCAGAATAATGTAAAAAATAATATAAAAACTAAAAATGTTCAAAATTAAAAGTTTAAGAAGTAAAATTAGCATTTAATTTTACTTCAATTATGCAAAGCTGATGAAACTGCTGGCCCTCAAATTCTGGGATGCCCCTTCAAATGAATGTCTTGTTTCCTTGTTGTAGTCTTTAGCCCAACAAAATTTCCTATTCTATTTTTTCCCACAATATCTACTAAATTTAATAACAAAATATTAAAAATTTCCTTGGAAAAAAAAATTATCCAATAAAAGTTTCAAATGGATGGAAAAGGCATATAATCGGTCCATGCAATTTTAACAAGAAATAGTCTAGCATTTTGTTTTAACTTCCTTAATTTGAATGTTGACTATTAATTAATATGCTGTCTCACTAAAATTTTTAGAAAGAACGGATACTGTTGGGTTTAAGAGGATCCAATGAAAGTAAAAATTAAAATTTTCTTTAATAGGACACAATACAAGTAAAAATTAAAATTCTCTTTTCACCCACCTAAGATCCTTACATTGATGGTCAAGGAAACTTCATGGTCAGTACCTCAAGGATGCATGCCTCGTTAATGCATAGTTCTAACCTCCATTATTTGATGAAGCCTCCAAGAGTGTAGATATAAAATTCCTTTAGTGGTGCTCCACACATGTGCTTGGGGATTCGAAGAAAACCAAATCTCCATAAGATGCTAGCAATTGAAAACCTAGTTAAATCTCTTCTTCTTAGTAGAGAATAATTTAGTGACATAAAATTCTAAGATACAAATAAGGGATATTATGTTTTCTATATTTATATATATTAATAAGGAATAGTTAGACTTATTATTCTAATCCAACCAGAATTTTCAAACTTAATTTTCTAGTCAAAGTAGAAAATAAAGAAAAAGAAGCTTTTTCTCCTTTTCCTTTTCCTCTCTAATGCTGCACACCCTAGTCCATGTTGGACTAGAAGTGTTGGCCAAGGGCTTCCTTTCCCTTATGCCATCTAACCCTAGCCCAACATGGATTAGGGTTCAACCCATAAGTACTTCAATGACTTAAATGCTGCTTTTCAATTTTTTTATTTTTAATTTTGAACAAATCCAAACTTGAACTAACTAAATTGAATTAAATTAAAACAACTGACTCTACCAATTTAATTTTTAGAATGTGACTAATTTAATTCCCTTGTGAAAATGATTTTTTTTACATAAATTAATCTATTTCCATAAACTTATATTTATAGAAATTCCAATTTCCATAACACATTGAGTGTATGACCTTCTAACTTTCTATCATGACATCAATGAAAAACACTCATAGACTAAGGGTGGTATCTAGTAACACATCATGGCCACCAAAAGCGATATAAATGTTGATGGTTTTGACTAACCTTCCTACGACCAATGCAGTTGTGTAATTTGATCCATTTATCATTGATATCTCAATCAAACAAGATGCATGTGATGTGCCATCATCCCTAAAGTTTGATACATTTTCTTGGATTTCCAATATAGATATACTTCTTGAATGAACTTTTCATTCCTACCATGGCCATGGGCTTTTAGTCTCATCTTAATCAAAGGACCAGAGATATCTTCTCTCAATAACACAAGAGGGACAAATCCTATATTGAGTTGCTCATTACTCTCATGCAATTCATGATACACCTAATAGCAGTATTGCCTGCAACTTCTCAAAGTGATTGGTACACGAGTCCTCTGTATAGAATCATGACGATCTCGAGTCAAAAGATCACTTACACTTGTGTTATAATTGGGAAGCTACTAATAACACATGCATATAGAGTTCTCATGGCGAATCAATTCAGTGTACTCACTTGCATTGAGTCACCCACATGTATTACATGACTTCGTGAGGAAAAGTCTTGTTGCCTAACAAGACATCACTTATGTTAGTCTATACTATTGTATCTATGATTTTGATGATCGGAAAATACTAATTTGGTAGCCACAAAACACTAAAGTACTAATTGGTTTATTTAAGTGAGTAGTTTGTGGATGAAAGATTGACAAAATTGGGAGAAGAATTAGAGAAAAAATAAGAAGGAGCAATATGCTGAAAAAATGTGCAGGAGAACGAACTTAGATTACTTAAGCAGGCTTAATGCCTAGAAGAGCTGATTTAGAACATTAAAGTCGACTTAAATGCTTAGAATCTATATATATATATATATATATATAAAATGCTACCCTATGCATTAAATAGGGTA